AAAAAAAAAAAAAAAAAGAAAGAAATGAAACAGTGTCCCCCTCCCATGTCTTATTCTCTACAGGAACTATTTTCACTTCTTTCAGACAACTACTGTGGTATTCACTTCCACTGACAGCTGTTCCAGGAGCTTCTGTTTTAGGTCTGTGGGTTTTGCTCTCTTCCCTCCCTGCCCCCACGACACACACACTCTTTCACCCTCCCATCCCCCAACATATATGATCACTGTGGTTCACAAAATCCTTAGTATTTACACGGAAGGATTTATTCCTCAGATACTATTTGTAGCTGAGAAATGTGGAAGGTTAGGATTCCTTTTCTTTTCCTGCATAATTTTTTCCTGGAGTGACTGTTTCTGTTTGCTTAGTTGTTGTTTTTTTTAAGTTTATTTATTTCAAGAGAGGGACAGAGAGAGCAAGTGAGTGGGGGAGGGGCAGAAAGAGAGAGAGAGAGAGAGAGAGAGAGAGAGAGAGAATCCCAAGCAGGCTCTGCACTGTCAGCACAGAGCTGGACTTGGGGCTCGAACTTACAAAGGCACTGTCAGCACGGAGGCCAGTGTGGGGCTCGAACTCATGAACCGTGAGATCATGACCTGAGCCAGAGTCGGACACCCAACCAACCGAGCCGCCAGGTGCCCGTTTGCTTAGTTTCATGTGATGTCACGACTAAGCCGACACCGTGCCCTTTGCCACCACATTCCTGCTTAAGACATTTTCACAAGCCTCACGTCCTCCCTCAACTCTGTCATCCCAAAGAGGTCCCGCGCCTTCCGGCCAGTCTGGACTGGCTCCCGCTGTGCCCGCTGTGCAGATGCCGCCTGGGGTCTCCCCTCCCCTCTCAGCAGGTGTGAAACCTCACTTTTCCTCGGCTCGATTTCTCCCTCTTTCTCGCTGGAACACATCTCCCTGGGGCTTCCTAAGCAGGGGAATGGAAGTACATCTGTTTCTCGTCTCTCTCCCTTGATCCATAGGCGGGCCGGGCTTACAGAATTCCGGGCTGGACACAATACTCCCGGAGAACCGGGCAGGTGCTCGACTCCACGCCCCCTGCTGAACCTGGAGCCATTCCAATTCCGGGTCCCTGGAAAGGTGACCGGGAATTGCTTTCCCAGAGTGTGATGAACTTCCTCTGGGGTCAGGAAATGTTACATTTCTATTTTGGGGTCTATTCTCACCTGCTGTGTTGACCATTTGGTGGACCTTTACCGTGTAGAAATTCATGTCCTCCTGTTCTAGAATTTGGGGGCAGGAAGACTAGTATTTTTTTTTTTTTTAACATTTATTTATTTTTGAGACAGAGAGAGACAGAGCATGAACAGGGGAGGGGCAGAGAGAGGGAGAGACACAGAATCGGAAGCAGGCTCCAGGCTCCAAGCCGTCAACCCAGAGCCCGACGCGGGGCTCGAACTCAAGGACCACGAGGTCGTGACCTGAGCTGAAGTCAGATGCTTAACAGACTGAGCCACCCAGACGTGCCCCGCACCCCCCACCCCGGCCTTTTAATGTTTATTTATTTACTTAGAGAGCATGTGTGAGTGGGGGAGGGACAGAGAGAAGGAGAGAGAGAATTCCAAGCAGGCTCTGCCCTGTCAGATCAGAGCCTGATGCAGGGCTTGAACCCATGACCTGTGACATCAAGACCTGAGCTGAAATCAGGAGTTGGACACTTAACCGACTGAGCCCCCCGGGTGTCCCTCTCAACTCTTCTAACTCACCATCTTGCCACTTTTCTGCTCTGCCTTCTAAAAGGTTTCCTCGTTTTACCCAACCTTTCTTTTTAATTACCATTCCTGCTATTTTTTATTTTAACAAGTCCTTTTTACTTCTGAATGTCCATTTCTTACAACATACTTCTTTTCATGTTTGCAATCCCTTTCCCCACACCCTGGAGAACGTATGTGATAGGTGTTCTGAGTTTTCTTCCCCCAGCATGGCCTGTTTTCTCCTGATTTGCTGCTGCTTGTCCGTTTTGATTCCTAACACAGTCTTCCTTGGTTATCCGCTAGTATTTCAGAGGGCACTAACCAGCTACCTGGCAGGGCCTGGACTGAGCTTCTGCGTTGCAGAATGTTCTGGCAAGAAGTCTGGTTTGGAAGCCTCCAGTGTCAGTTCCTTAGGGGCTTTCTTCTTGGTCCAATCAGATTCCCCAGAGAACTCTATTCTTTTATAAAGATTTTTTTTTAAAGCAACCTCTATATCCAACATGGGGCTCGAACTCACAACCCTGAGATCAAGCGTTGCACGCACTTACCAACTGAGGCAGCCAGGTGTCCCTAGAGGAGGACTCTGCTAACCTCCTGGCAGAATGGCGCAGTCCCTGCCACAGGCACACTGGGACTGAGGAGGAGAATAGGGCACCTAAGCCAAGCCAGGTGCCCTCAAGTTGGGGGGCCTCTGTGTTACCACCTCTGAGGGTTATCAAGTCTCTAGTTCTTTGCCAGGATAGGGGAGAATCTGGGTTTCTGACTGCTTTTTAAATAGCTTTCAATGTATCTTTACCTAGGCTGCCACTTTTAGTCTTATCTGCAAAAGTACTTAATATTGCTAATTCCTGAGCTTCTGGGGGATTCTGGGGTCGTTATCGGCTTTCCCTGCAGCCGCATTATCAGTTTTCTTGGGTCTTTTGAGCCCTTTATCACTGGTCTGTCTGCTTTCCAACTTCCAAAATTTTTTGCTGTGGTCTCCCTTCTTGTTCTCCTCATTCTTCAGGGTTTATGCCGTTCAACACACACACACACACACACACACACACGCACTCTTTACTGTCATTTTAGTGAGGCTTTAGGAGTGTGGAGTTGATGCCTCTTTCCTGGGGATCTGCATGAAGGGGGCCCTCCAACTTCTTATTTTTTTTTTACAGAAAAAGAAACCGTGTCTACACAACTGGTACCAGGAGACCTGGCCAGTACATGGGTAACTCTGGCTTAGCGATCTTTCCATTACACTGTACTATTTTTTCAGAGTATTAAAATCTCTCTTACCGATCCTTGGGGATTCATGCAGCTTCTACGAAATTAAAACTTTCTACTCAAACTCACTTTGGTACCCGAGAATTATACAATCTTCTACTCATATTTTTTTTAAAAACACTGTGAGATGGTTTCCAAGAATCAAACAGTGAGTAAGTACAGGGAATCCTTTCATACAGGCACAGGGCTATGTACTCCATAAGCGCTCACAGGACACAACTCAGTGAGCGTTGACTTGAAGAGAATTAAATTTCTTAATAGGGGAGGAAAGGAACAAAATGCTTTCTGTCCTTTTCACTAGCAGCTTTCCTGAAAAACACCCAGCCTGCATCATATGACCAAAAACAAAGCCAGCACGAACCCTAAAGGCAAAATCACATTTACAACAGAAATGAGTTCAGAAGTCCTCAGCTCATACATGTACACCTGTCCTAAACTGACCCTTTTTGAAAGTATTAACATTTCAAAAAGCTCTGTCAAGCACCTCCAATACTAATCATTACTCTGGATAATCCTGGTTTTACTTCTTAATCATGTATATATATCTACATATATCTACATGTAGATATATGTAGATATATGTAGATATACGTGTGTGTGTGTGTTTAAATCTATAAACGATTCTCTTTAAGAAAAGTTTTCATGTGTACTAGAAAATGTGTATTTTGTGATATGTACACGTGCAGAGGGAGAAGCTTCTTCAAAACAGCATCACAGTAATTACATTTGCCTCTCTGAAGGAGAAGAAATTCCCAGGGGCAACATAATAGCATTTTCATAAGCAAATAATAGTAATAAAACACACACACAGAAGAGAATAATAATTCTGGGCAATGACAGAACCAAGCTTTAGAACTACAGCCTAAACAGGAAATAAGAAGAAAAAAGATAAAACTTACCATGATGTAGGAGA